TGAAGAGACTCCTCTCTCCTAAAGGAAAACAAGTGGACCCCGGGGGAGCGAGCTCCTTGGTCTAAACTGCACAGCCTGTGTGTGGCAATGCCAGAACCCCCAGAACCCCGCAGCACTCCCCTCCCTCTACCACGTGGCCTCTCACAAAGCAAACTACAAATTGGGGGAGCGGCTCATCCAGGAGGGGGTGGACCATTGTAGAGAATTAAAACAAACACCACTCTTCTTGTAGTGCTCACAACTCTGAATATCTTGTTGTCATTTAAGGACATGATGAGCTTTATATGCAAAATTGCCAGCTCAGAGTTGGTAGCTAGTTATCTTTACAGTAGTAGAGGCCTGGAGGAAATTGAGGAAGAAGAGAGTCATGATGAAAAATAGCAGAGGCTCCTGGCCCTCCCTCTACAGCCACTATCGCCCTTTGTTTTTCCAGGGTCTTCCTCTCTCCAGCCAGAGGGGCCCCATGCCCCTTCCCTCAGGTTAGCTGCATTAACTGTTAATGTCAGCTAGGGGCTACTCACTAACGCTGGGCAGAGCGGCTATTTTCGGAGGGTGCTGATCCTCACTTCCTCACCAGCTCTGTTAGGCTTCCTAATATAAAGCCCGTCAAATTGCTCCAGGGCTGCGCTGGGTGAGGGAGTCTTCAGTAACACTTCTTTCTCGGCTATTATTGGCAACAAAGAACTAGTTATTTGCCTTTTTCTTCTCCTTTCACCTCATGAAGCCTTCTCCCTCCCCAAAGTGGCTGAAAGAGAATTTCTGAGGAGATGCTTTTATCTCCCACAGTTGAGTGCTCAATTCTTTTTATTTCTAGGAGTTCCGGTGGGCATAATATGAGGATGGTCCCACTTCCTCCTAATCTGGGCATTTGGATTTAAAAAATTTACTTTCACATATCTATTGCTAAGCACTAAAAATATGCTCAACGGTTGTTTCTTGTGTTTGAATAAAGGGTTTCACCCCTTACAAGGGGCACAGCCTGCATAAGCGTATACTTAAAGTGGAAACGAAGCCTTCCGCTCCATCTGTAATCTGAGCCCTCCTCTAGGGCTGGCGCTCTCCCTTTACAGGGATGGCTGCTTCTCAGGAGCAGGAATCGGTAGGGATTGGAGTACATGGCCAGAGAACAAAGCTGGGAGGGTGCACGTGGCTGTGTTTTGGGGGACAGGATGGAAAACGTCTCTGGGTGACAGGGGTACTGTGCGCCTGTGCGCGCAGGCGCCGGGGGATCCGAATTTCAACTGTGGGCGTGTGTGATTTGTGTGGGTGGAGGGATCTGGGCGGGTGAACGGAATCTGTGTATGAGGGGGAGAGGCCGGGTGTGTGAGATGACTCACATCTTTCAGCCTGTGGGAGGGTTTATTTGCCGGGGTAACTTTTGGTCCCAGGGGTCCTTATGCACACAGCACCCAGGAGGAAATATTTACCTGTGCAGCTTAGCGCAGGGGGCCAGCACGTGGAGAAGAGGAGATGCGACCGGTGGGACCCAAGTGGGGGCGTCTGAGTGTGTGTGTCTGCGAATGTGCCCTTGCCTACAACTCTGGGCTGCTGCACCCAGAAGGGAAGGATGGGTGTGGAGGAAGAGGGAGGAACAAGGAGGTAGTTTTGAACGAGGCAGTTTAGAAAGAGGTGTTCCACACAAATGCACAGGCTCTGGAATGGCCACCCTGAGAGTGAATCCGGGCGTGGCCCAACACCCATCTGCCTTCTCTGAGCCTCCACTTCCCAACATGGGAAATGGGGGGAACGATCCTGGAGAGGTATAGGAATTAAGTGCTATATTTCACACAAACACCTGCTCCATGCCCTGCACACGGGAGGTATTTAGTATTGCCATTTATTATCCTTTTCAAAATCATCACCATCATGTCTAGCTATGGGTTCTATAAAATAATCATTACACGTGACATATACTGCATGTGAACTATAATAAAAAATAGTCATAAATAATAATGAATGCTTACTGGAAGAGCCATGTACGCCACCTCAATCAATCCCCACAGGAATTCTTATCAGCCCTTTGAACAGGTGAAGAAACAGAAGCTCAGAGAAGTTAAGTAACTTGCCCAAGGTCACAAAGCAAAGGCACAGCTGGGATTCAAGCACAACAGCTGTAAACTCGGCAGCATGCGCTGTCACCCCACAGCCCCAGCCTCACCATTTCTGTGGAGTCACCAACAGACTGGGGAAGCTGCTCAGCTCGTTTCAATGAGCAATACCTGCCTTGCGCTCATGGGAGGATGAACCTGAAGGAGGAGGAGTTGGCAGAAGTGTCGCCAGTTGAAATGGATTCCATACCAATTCCAGCTAAATGTGGAATACATTTGCCGTTTGTGCATTATTCATGAATATCACTGTTTTCCCAAGTCAGCACTGGGAGCTGGGCTGAAGTTTGGGAGCTTTGCTGATGCCTGCCCAACATTCCCATCCCTTGTGCTCAGGAAAAGTTGGTTTAGACCTTCAACTCATTCAAGGCTCTGCCCTCCCCGAAGGAAGACCCATCACAGCCCACCAGCTGACTGGGGAGAAAGTGTAGAGGACCACTGTTTTGTTCCAGCAGATTATGACACCCCACTTTAGCTCTGCTCGCTTGATGGACTGCTCAAAGGCACACATTCTCCACAGTCACCTCCTTCCTCATGAGAAGTGGAGGCTGTGTTGCAGCAAAGTGGCCCCTGATGTCTGGGCTTGATTATCCCAGGCTAGAAGGGTCAGTTCGATTTCCCGCTATGCCATGTTGCAAACCAAAAGGCCCTGGTGCCCTGCATCTGTGTGTCTGCTTCTGCTGGCATACAGGTGGTGTGACGAGGACAGATTGGGGTTCAAACCCTCGACTCTGCCACAAAAGGCAGGGAGCCTGGCTCCTGGGCCTCGCTACCTGCATCTGTAAAATGGACATGAGTCCCTCCATCACATGACGCTCAAGCAAGAAGATGCAGAGGGGAAGTCCTTTAGGGAGCTAACCACTGCTTAGCTGTTAGGATCGGGTATAGAGACTCAAGGACATAAATCCAATAAAAGAAGCGTTTCTCACATCAACATGTCAGACCCTAAACGCATGGCCAGCCATGGAATCAGATCCTCTCTTCCCCCAGCAATCACCATGTGATTACCACCCTTCCTTCTAAAACAGAAGCTCCGTGAAGGCAAAGGTTTGTCTGCTTTGCTCACTACTATTTGCCCCGAGTCCAGAGCACCTACTCATTGGAGGCACTCAGTAGATATTTGTTGAATGAAGGACAGAATTCTTCAGGCCACTGAAGATGTCCCGGGAAGGTGGGCAGCCTGGGGTGCTATACGTCACCCTCAGGTATTCCGAGGAGTTCCTGACTCCTTTCCTCCACATGTTCCTATGTGAGGCCCTCTGCACAGGACCACAAAGTCACTCTCCTGGCTCAGGCACAGCTAGGAGCACCTCTGGAGGGACAGATCTGCAGAGCAGCCGGGCCAAAGCCCAGAGGTGACAACTGCCCCTGGGCTCCCAAAGCTTCCAGCTGGGAGCGCCAGGCTGCTCAACCGCCCACCTCAGCCACCCACACCTGCTGCCCAGGCCTCGCAGTGCCTGCACATGGGTGCGCGCGCACACAAACACACACCCACGACCTGGAACCCAGCAGGTCGGTCTGCTCGCCTGGCCCCCATGGCCCAGGTTCAGGAAACTCTCCAACCTGATCAGTGAAAACAACAGCAGCACAGTGGAGGCCGCCTGGGACCAGGGCTGGGCAGGGCTATGACAGGCAGGGGCATTATATAATTAACTGCCCCCACGCCTCCTCCCCTTTGAGGAATAATGAACCCTGCCTCTCAGTTGCATAAGCCAAAATAATAATTACTCTCCAGCCCTCTGTCACTCCTGGATGTGGCCGGGGAGCAGGTGTTTAGCACTTGCTTCATGCGACTTGGAGAGAGCGAGCAGGCAGGGAGAAGTCCACACATACACTCATGATTTCTATGGCCACCAGAAGCATACAAGTCACTGCTGTGCCCCACTGCATGCCTCAAAAATTACTACCGCTTCTGAGAATGAGCTCCCAGACTGGGGCACGGGCGGGGGGAGTAGCAGCAGAGAGCTGGCTTGTTTGGGGTCTGGCTTCCAGGAACAGTAAATGCTCCATGCCTCTCTGATGCACCAAGGAGTGGATACTAGAGTGTCTGGGACAGGGGGGTAGCAGCAAGGCCAGCAGGGCTCCCTGAACGGAAATCTTACAGCCGTGGTAGGCAGCTGGTGGACAGCTCCCTGATTTCCTGCACCAGCTCAACCCTGAATGTGGTGGCATCTTAGAATGAAGGCACAGACCATTCCCTGAACTAATGGGGAAAATGATTCAGCCACTGAACGGTGAGATTCCTGGGCTCTTGCTAAACAGATGGGCCTCCCTCCCTCTCTGCCTTCAGCAGCCTTCTCTGACAGCGCTAGCCCATGTCCAACCACCTAGAAGTTTATTGCCTTGTTGTGTTGGTTTGGGTTCATGTCCCCCGCCTCTAGCTCTCCTAATTGCTCCCCTTCCATTGGCTTGGGTTGATCAGGTCTCAGGGAGGCCCTTTGGCACCGCAGGAAAGCAAGAAGCAAAGCTGGGGCCTGACTCCTGGAGGCCCACACCAAGGGAGCTCTGTCAACAAGGGGAAGGGGGCCTCTTCCAGCCCCCGGCTACCCTCAGTGGGTCCCAGAGGAGGCCCTGGGCCCAGTCTGGCCTTTCTGTAAGTCTCTGGCCTGCTCTTGGTTGATGCACAGACACTGCTCAGCTCTGCAGCTCCAGGGCCTGGCTCTGCTCCTGGAAAGCCCCCAACACCCTTCAGCTGGCACAGGGGTGCTATCCCCCACCAAGCAGTGGGGCAACCTGTAGCCAGGGCAGCCGGGCCTCCAGGGAACCCCGGGAAATGCCCAGGTGCCGTGGGCCCCACTGGAGGGAGAAGCTCAACTTCCCCAGAGATAAACAGAAGAGGCAAGAGAAGGTCCCTCCTCCGCCCAGCCCCCGGCCCGCCCGCACCAGCGCACCTACCTCCATCCGAGTAGGTCTCGGTGCCGTAGCCGTCCTGCAGCCCGTTGCTCCAGGTCCCTTCGTACTTGGCCCCGTTGCCCGTGCACTCCCGCACCCCGTAGCGCCCCTTAAATCCGTGCGTCCACTCGCCCTTGTACACCCACTTCCCCTTGCTCTCCAGGCCGATGCCGTGGCGCTTGCCCTGCGCCCAAGTGCCCTGGTACGTGTTGCCGCTGGGCCAGGTGTAGACGCCCAGTACCTCGAAGCCGTGGCTCCACGAACCGGTGTATTCGCCCTGGCCCTTGGGGCCGGTGCAGACGCCATGGCCGTGCGCCTTGCCGTCCTCCCAGCCTCCACAGTAGGACCCTCCATCGTCAAAATTAAACCTACCCCCACTGGACATGCATGTAACTCGGTTTGCAAATCCCGCAAACGGTGAAAAAAAAAAAAATAAGGCTATCAACAAACCGGATTCTTGGTTGGCTGGCTGGTTTTGTTTTGCTATTTTTTTTTTTTTTAAAGAAAGAATGGAGAAAGCAAAAAACACAGCGAGCAGATCCCGAGCGGCGGGCGGCCGCGGCGCCGGCTTCGGTGGAATTTAAGTCAATCGGGGGCGATTATTCATTTTCGAGCTGCGCCGCGGAGCCTGACCAGCGTCTCGCGCTCCCGCTGGAGACAGGACCGGAGGGGAGGAGGGAGGGGGAGGGGAGGGGAGGGGAGGGGGAGGGAGGGGGCAGGAGCAGCAGTGCTGGTGCAAACGGCTCCACCTCAGCGCGAAGTGCCCCTCAGAGGCGAGCCCGCGGGGCTGGCCACGCAGGCCGGCGCAGGGACGGAGGCTCAGGCTCGGGGCGCAGCCCCCCACCTGCGGCTGCCGCGCTGCGGGCGCCGGAGGGCGGCGGCGGGGCCCGCGGGCGGCGGCACGGGCGGCGGCGCGGGCGGCTGCACCATATTGGGGGCCACGGGCCGGGCCGGGGCGGCGGCGGCAGCAGCAATGCGGCGGGTCGGGCGGCGGCGGCAACAGCGGCGACGGCGTGCTTTCTGAGCCCGGCCTGCGCGCTCGGGCCCGCGCGGCGCGCGTCCGCACCCCGCCCGCGCGCCCCCGCGCCGCACCCCGCCCGCCCTCGAGCCCCCGCCGCGGTCCCCCGGCCCTGATGCGCCAGCAGCCTGGAGAGGGGGCGCTGCCCCACCTGCTGTAGGGCGCGGGGCGCCGCCCGGGACCCCCGGCGTCCCACCCTCATCCCCATCCTGCGCTACTTCCCGCTGAGCTTCCCCCACTTGCCCGGGCCCGCCTGGAAAAAGGGGTCCAGCCAGGGCACCCCAACCCCCCTTTTCCCGGGACTTGGATTTAAAGGGACAGGAACTGCGTAACGGGAAGGCGCCCAGCACCCAGGGTACTCTCTACCCCTGCCGGGAGCCGCGAGCGAAGACCGGCCGAGCAGGCCCGGAGCGGTCCGGGGGCGCCCGGCAGGTTCCCGCTCCCCAACCACGCGCCGGGCCCCTCCCGCCGGGCTCCTGTCTGAGACGCCTGCCCGTAGCTTGACTGGAGAGGCTCTTGGCAGACCACAGGTGGTTTTCCCTATGACAAACAATCCGTCCTTTTCCTTACAAGCAGTTCGACTCCAAATGTGGGAGGGAGGGGGGCCCTAGCCTCAGAAAACATGTCCCCTCCCCATATAGTAATAGAAAGGCTGGTCACACGCACATATCTCGGCATAAAGGTACCCCAATCCCGTTTCTCCCCCGCGCCCTGGACAACAGGTAGCCCCCCACTCCGGGAGTGGTCAAGCTTTGGGAGTAAAGTGTGACCTCCACTCCGGCGTTACTAGGTCTCTCTCCACACAAACTCCCACCCCCACCCCCAACCCTAATCCCACCCCCCAAGAGATAGTGTCTGATTCCTGGACCCGAGTATCCTGGGACCAATTTAAAATACATTTCCTGGACCATAAATCCGCAGGCAGAGCCCGCGTTCCCAGCTCTCTGGGAGCGCATGTGGCAAATGGCAGCAACCAGTGATTTGGAGGGCGGCTGCACGGGGTCCGAGCTAATTGGAGTGCGGGCGGGTGACTCGGGCTGTGGGGAGCCAGGAATTGCAAGCCAGGCGGTGGAGCCTGAGATTTAGCACAGCAGAAGGGGTGCAATGAAACCTCCAATTAGCCAGGGGCTCTGCTCAGCGTTCTCCTGCCTGCATTGTTCCCGCCTTTGGGTAAAAAAGCCCTCACTGGAAACGAGCTCCTCCTCCGACCCCCAAAGTTCAAACTCTGACTTCTTGTCTTGCCCTGGGCACCCAGGCCCCTTCCCTAAAGTGCCACTGGCTTGGAGGGCAGTCACCTCCTCACCGACTCCCCTGGGGAGTGGCTTTTAGGGAGTTTTCAGTTTAGCTTTGTGATTCGCAGTTAACAAAGATTCAAAGTACTTCCTCCGCCCTGTCTCCTTGTGCTGCTCTCAATGCCTGGGGGTAGAATTGCTGGGTCAAGCACTTCTCGGGCCTGGGAGAAGTGGCTCTCCAGAGCACCTGGAGAATTTCCTGCCAGCCCTGCAGTGCACCTGCGCTTTCGACTCTCTACTTCCTGGCCAGCACTTGGTATTATCGCACTTATATTAGGTTTCCATTTGTTTTATTTTGTTAGCCTAAACGGGTATTAAACAGCATCTGTCAGGGCTGTTTGGTGAAAATGAAAAATTACATATAGTAAATGTGTAGGCAAAAGGGCTGCAGACTCTCCTCACAAGATTCAGGTTCAAATCCTGCCTCCTGGGGTGGCCAACTGTGTAGCTTTGGGCAATCACTTAATATCTCTGAGTTCAGTTTTCTCATCTGTAAGATGGGTATAATAGTAGTTCACATACTATTTAATAACCGAGAATTTAAGTAACTAGTGCTCAGCGTGTAGTAAGCACTGAAGAAACAGGAAGTCATGTTGTTATTAGGAGACCAGTCCCCTAGCAAGGTCATGGGATCTTACATGGGATCCCCAGCCTTCAGCCTGCTCCCCTGAACACTGTTGATATAAAATCTCTGTTTCTCTTGTATACTCTGCACTTTTTTCTTTCCATTTATTTCCAACCCTTTTTTTTGCTGATTCAGCAGCCCTTCCTCACAGGAGCAGTGGATTGCAACTGAGATCTTATTGGAAAATGGTGATTGGTTCCAAACAATTATTGGTCAGCACCTTCTACCCCTGGGTAATGCATACCCTTCCCCTGATAATTCCAATACGTGCCCCCCGCCCCCGCCAGCACTGACCCTCCCTCCTCTCCAGTGCCTGGTCAGATTAGCTCCAGTAGTGACAGATCCTACTGTCTGAAATACAGACTTGGGAGGCATTCATTTTGTGCAATTTGGAAATCGTTCTCCCATAAAGTGGGGCTGGAGGTATTGATTTCATTTTGGAAGAAACTCTCCAAGGCTATAAACATAGTACCACCCAGCAATTTCAAAACAAAAACCAAGGAGAAAAACTAGAAACTCTTTGACCATGCGGAATTTCATGGCCTTGTGCATCAGACTCCTGGCTGAATAGCTCACGTCTGTGATCTCTGGGCACTCCTTGGGGGACTTGGGCTTTTATGTCCCCTCCCTTCATTAATACCAGTTTGGAGCCTACCTAAGTGAAGTGTCTGGCCGGAGGGAACATAATGACCAAGCAGGATTCTAGCCCAAGCAGTCTAGTTTCCAGCCTGTAACCTTTCTGGCCTCCAGGCATTGTACTACCATTCCCTTCTCCCTCTCCTGAGACCATGACTGGGAAGTTTTCTGGTTTGGGCTCCTGAAAAGCCTTCTGTTTCCCTGTATAACAACCCCCCACCCCTTTCATCTCCAGAAGCCTGTTTGTTTCCTTCAGTTACCTGTCTGCTCTTCTGTGCCGGCGTTCACTCTGACACTGTGAGATGTCTGCTTGAAGATGTCCTATCCCGGGTGCTCTCCTATAAAGCGGCATGGACACCACTCGTGCTGAGAGGTGGGCCAGCTGCGAGTGTAGCAGAAGTGATACAATACGACTTCAAAGGTCAAGGCATAAATGGTGACACAGCTTCTGCCTCATGGTTTCAGGATGCTAGAGCTTGGAACAGAGTCACCATGCTATAAGGAAGCCCAAGCAGCCCATGGGAGGTGCACGGGAGAGTACACAGGGACTCCAGCCCACAACCCCGGCCGAACTCCCAGCCAGCGCAGCACGTGTGGACAGACATGTGAGTGCACCATCTTGAACTAGATCCTCCAGCGCAGGCCAACCACCCCCATGAACGCCACGTGGAGCAGAGTTCCCACCCATGGCGCTTTCCCGGCCATGTCTTGTCATAATTTCAATTTCTGAACAAAATTAGTGATTGTTGTTACGTTAAGCTAGGGGTTGTGCAAACTCCAGCTCAGGGGCCAATTCTGGCTCACTGCCTGTTTTTGTAAGTAAAGTTTTATTGGAACACAGCCGCCCCCCATTCATTTACATATGTCTATGGCTGCTTTCCCACCACAATGGCGGAGTTGAATCATTACAGCAGAGACCATATGGCCCATAAAGCCTAAAATATTTACCATCTTGTTCTTTACAGAGTTTGCCAAGCCCTGTGTGTTAGTCGACTCAGGCTGCCATAACAAAATACAAAGACTGGGGGACTTAAACACAGAAATTTATTTTCTCACGTTTCTGGAGGCTGGAAGTCTGAGGTTAGAGTGCCAGCATTTTGGGTTCTGGTGAGTACCGTCTCCCTGTGCCTCTCACTGTCCTCACAGTTGGGCAGGCCAGGGAGGGAAGGAGAGGGAAGGACCCAGTCAGCAGAGGTGAGCAAGAGTGCCCTGGTGTTTTTTTCTTATAAGGACACTAATCCTATGGGCTCAGGCCCCACCCTTAACACCTCATTTAACATTGTTTACTTCCTTATTGCAAATCCAGCCACACTGGGGGTTGGGGCTTCGATATATTAATTTGGGGCGGGGAGGGGAGGGCGGGATGGGCACGTTCAGTCCATCAAATCCTGCTTTAAGCCGCTGAGTGTTGGGCGGTCTGTCACACAGTATCGGTAAGCAGAACAGACTGTAAGCTTCATGCAGGAGCTATCTGTGTGGTTCACCCTCTGCCCCAGGAGCAGGAACCATGGGTGTATGATTCACTTTTGTGACACAAATTACCAGCCTGCGAGTTGGTGGTAAGTAGCTTGGTGTCAGGGAAGACACCCTCTGGGCATCGGGGGACCTGAATTCTGCTGTTGGTTCTGACACTAACTTGTGTGATGTCGGGCAAGTCTACCAGCTTCCCAAGGCCTAGTGCCTTCACCTATAAAATGGGGAACTAGATGGTTTCCCTGGTCTCAGTTCTGTAGCTGTAGAATTTTCCTCAGCCCCTCTTCCTGCAGTCCAGTGTGACCTGCGCTGCTGCGTAGGGGGTGAGTTTACTCACAGTCTCTGCGCAGCGGATTGTTCCTCAGGACCGTGGGTGTGGCACGCGTGGAGCTGCTGAAGGAGCCTACAGAGGGTCTATTTTTTTGGTGCCTCCTCCAGCCAATTTTAGGGTTTGGCTGATAAGCCTGTGGCAATCTAGAACTGATTCCTTACACAACTCGTGCAAATGTGGGAGGTCAATGCGGCAGGAGCGCCAAGAGCAGTTG